AACCCCTCTCTACAAGAACAAGGAGGTTGCTGGGAATTGGGAGCAAAAAACCTTACAATTCAAATAGGCAGGAATGATTTGCCTAATTGCAAAGGTAAAAAAATCAATGCCCATGACCTATTCAGGAAAATAAAAGTAGAATAGAAAAAAACCTCTCCCCCAAACAAAATGAAACAAAAGGTGGGGAAAAACAGGAAATGCAGATTTATTTTTAAAGAATACCATTACCAATTTCTTAGTCATTATAAATCTTGAAATAAAAAAAAAGCCCACAAATCAGAAGTCAAACAGAAAATAACCCTAAGAGTTCTAGTCATCATACACATACCAGCAGATCACTTAAGTATTTGGCAGTGGCTTCATCTTTATCTATACTTAGCATACAGGATATAATTCATCTTGAAGTAGGAGACCTCAAACCAGCCAATGGTTAAAAAAAATAAAATAAAAATGCTTGTGTATGTAGCCCTTGCCCTTGCACCTCCCAATTCAAATGTTCTCTAAATTAAAATAATTTTCATTTAGCATTTGTTTTTGTCTGCCAGGACCAAACACTGCCTTAGGAATTTACCCAGCCTAGGAGAAAGGAACTGGAAACAGAAGTTAAAATCAAACGCTACTTAAATAAAATTTATTACAATTTATTTCTTTTTGCTGTACACTTTCTTGAACATAGACTAAAACAGTGTGTGTGCGTGTGTATGTTTGTGTGTATATATATGCATGCTGATACATTTACAGATTTGTACCTTTAGAAGGGACCACATCTTCAATGCTGACAACAACAGCCCCCCTTCAAAAAAAAAATCAAAAAAGTCAGGAACACTAGTTTTAAAAAAAAAACAGTGACATTTTGTAATAAGTTAGCCAACGTTTGGAAAATCCCTATGCTTAGCTAGGAAAAAGGATTAAAAACCAATAAATTCTTTTGTTGAGAGAGTAAAAACAACAACCTTCTGGCACATTTAAGGTTACTAGTTAGCTTATTTTTAACAAATTAAAAACAAAAGGCCTTTATTGATAGTATCAGCCCATTGTGAGATCAGAATGGTTGAGTAGTTGATAATAAAGCAGGAAAACCACAGCTATTTGATCAAAATCTGGTCTGGTTTGGGGAGAAATAGGTTGTGTGTTTATGGTAATGGACGGCAGTGAAATACTTCTCATTCCAGCAGTAACTGAAAAGGATGTTGAGCCGTTGAAGTCTTACGAGCCAAATGCCTTAACAGCATAAACGCAGATGTGTTCTGCAGTGGTCCTGACCACAAGGCTGCCAGGAGCAGATGGAAAACCCTGTACAGTATGGATTCTCTGTATAGTAGTAGGATGTTCATGTGGAAAGAGGGAAAGTCCTGGATTCCAGACTATGTGCCTAGATAGGATTAGGATTAATTTTGTCAATAGAAAAAAAAAAAAACCATAGATACACAGTTGCTTTTTATAAGCTGAAGCTTGCACACGGGACTCTTTTCCTCCTTTCTGTCACAGATCCCATTCCTGTGCATTCAACTCTGCACAGAGCTGTAAGCCTCTGTGTTGAGCACACCAGCACACACTAACCCCTTTGTGAGTTCAGCTCCAATCAGCATTTGGCACCTCTGCAGCTGCCTCTTGAGTGTTCCTTATTGCTAACATCCACGTTGCAAGAAAGATGTTCATGAAACACAGGGAAGGACTTAGAGAAGAGCTGTGAAAGTGATGAAGGGTTGAGCTAGTATCAAAGCAGGCGACTGATTAAGGTTGCCTAAAATAAATATTTTACTGATAAAAATGTTATTAGGTGAATTCATGATAATCTGGAAGTACTCTCATGAGAGATAAATGAATTGGATACTACTGGCTCTGCAAGTCTAGCAGATGAAAGCTAAATAACAAGGCCAGACAAATTCCTACTAGGAAAGAAGAAGATTTTAACACTAACATTCAGCAATAATGGGGAAAAAAAAAAAAAAAAAAAAGTCAAGATTTGTGAAAAAAGGTCTCCATCATTGCCAATTTTTACAACAGGGATGATCCCACCTCCCCAGAAAACACACATAGCTCGAGTAACAAGGAGAGTTGAATTCTTTATATCAGCAGGAAATTTTTACCTCTGACCACAACCAACACTTGATAATCTAAGCATACTAAGCCCTTCAGTTTTACTGAAGCCAATTTTGTAAAAAAGAAAAACAAACAAACAAACAACAAAAAAAAAAGAACGACAAAAGACAACAAAAGGAGTGGCAAAAACAGTCAGATAGGATCTGCCTAAACTCAGCGCAGACACCGATTTTCCTCTGCTAATGGACTAAAGGTATGCATAACTTCCAAAATGCTAGAGGTTAGCAGCAAGAGTGATTGGAAGATGCTGAAAAATTGAAGAAAGTCCAGCAGGGGGCTACCAGATGGAGGAAAAAGCAAGGAGAATCCACCATATGAAAAAGACTGAAAGAACTTCTTCAGGCCAGAGAACAGAAAACTCAGAGGAAATTAATCAGTCTTCCAATATACAGAAAGTAGTTTCAAAGGAGATGCACATACACCTTCCAAAAGGATACATGCTATATATACACATTATGTACGCTAAAATCTTCCCAGCAGAAGATTTGTTATCCTACTAGTTTTCTGCTTTTTAAGCACCTAGTAGAAAAAACACCACATTCACTGCATGGTTGGTTGTTTTTTTTTCTATTTTGCTGAGATGGACCAGTAGCCCTGAAATCAAAATAATATATTTTTGTCAAAACTCAGTGCAGCTCCATAACCATGGATTTACTGAGCTCAGCCTTGAGTGTGTTTTTCTAAGCTTTCAAATGTCAGTGTACCGCCAGTTCCTCATCTTGGGGCTTTAGTGACTGAGCTCTGTGAAACAACTTCATTTCAGGCCTCAACATCCTTTTTTGGTCAGAAAAAAAAAAAAAAAAGGATTCAACATTTCAAGTCTTTTAAATAACTGTACCCCACTTCAGTTTTTCATTAATTGCATACATTTATCCTAAATCAACTTGAGGCGTATCATTGACCAGCATTATTTCTCTTTTTACTATAATCAATATCTGTAATCCAATCATATTTTTTTTATTTATTCGTTTCAAATAAAAGGACACAAAGCATTTTTCTGCTTACACATAGTATAAACAGTCATCTAAATGCATACAGAGGGCACAGTGAGCTGTGATAATGGCTTTCAGACCCTTCCATGACCGAGTCCAATATCCATGACAGCTCAGTGCACTCAGCACTTTCATCAACTGCCAAAGCACAGAGAACATTTAATACATTTCTCAAAGAGGGAATAGAAAATTGATAATACCCTTGAAGTTAAATACTCATAACAAATCTACAAACTGCCCAAAGATTCCACTCTTTCTGAAAGAAACTGGAAGCTACAGAAGGGCTCAAAGATGCAACAGAGTCCATAATTTATTTCTTTTGATTCTAGAGATATTCTGTCTCTAAAACATAGCATCTATTGAAAGTCTTGTTTTAGTTGCACCTGATTATAATGGTCAGAAAAAAATAAATAAGTTCCACAAACAGCATCTCTAAAACATTTTTAGGGAAAGAGTGGAACACACATTAATATGTTTTGATACCCTAACCTATAAGTCAACACAAAACCAAGAATAAAATTATCCTCAGCTTATTCAAATACAATCAACAATACCATATCAATGAATTATTAAAATTATGTTTTGACTGCAGATGACAGTGGTTCTTGCTTAGCATACAGCACAATTCAGCAAGCTCAGCAATAACAACTAACCTAAATTAAGTGGAGAAATGCAAAGCCACATATCTCACCATTTGAATATTTCTGCAGGGAACATCTACTTTTTATCAGATTTCAGCTGCAATACTCCAGATAACACAGGTCTGCAGTCATGTCTGGACATAAAATGCATTTTCCTGAACCACTAATTACAAGGCAATTTACTTTTGTAAAATCAGTGTAATTTTGAAGATATGTTCTGAGGCACATTTTTCAAACAATGATGTAACTTAAACGATAAGTTGAAACTATTTGTTTCATATTTCATGCCGTTTGGAAGAAATAAGACAATGCCTTCCCTCCTTGTTCTTCTGATAGACTTACTACTTTTACTTTTAAGCCTTGTTGCAATTTTGATGCGAAAGGTAAAAGAATTTTGCTTCCCTGAGATCATACAAATATACAAAAAAGCACGTACATGCTTTTCAAAATGAAATTTCCTTTTTTACAGATCTCTAACGAGGACACCTAGGTTCATCACAGTACCACGATAAAAAAATATGATATTTCACCATTTGAAAGATATTCTCCAGAACAGAGAGGAAAAAGAATTCCCACTATTTGGATTTTTTATTTTTTTTTGTAATTATTCATCTGTGATATGTTCGCTAGCAAAATGATTAGAGTTGAGTTACAAGCCAAAACCCAACTGCAAATACAGGTGCATTTTGTAAATGTCACAATGTCTGCAGCCAGTCTGCCCTCTTCAATCAGTGAGCCTGGCCAAGAGGAGGCTGTAAAATGCCAATAAAAGGCTGAGAAATACAGGAGGACAAGGCCTACGTTGGACTTCAAGAGGGCGATTTCTTTCCAGCAAACCCAGTTGAGGCTACTCTGAGCAGCAATGTGTTTTGGTTTTTTTGAGTCAAAAAAACAACACTGCTACCTGGAAAATAATCTTTTTTAAAGCCTACAAGTTAGGCTTGGATGAGGTAAGAAGAAACGTGTTTTACGTAGATGTGTGGCAATGCACCTACCAGAGTATGGCTGTATCACAGAATTTTTTATTATCAATGATAATTTCAACAGTGGTAAGCACTGTGTGTGTGTGGCTGTGGATTCTACCACTTAAGGATGTGTTTCAGCAAGACATAACACTGCTGACAGCTTCAGGATTAGAGACTGAATAGCTATGAATTGAGTCTGTGGCAATTCAGAAATGGAGAAGAACCAATCGGGAAACTCATGGCCTTACTTACTGGGATATTAAGTGTGCAATTAATCATTAATTTCACAAAGCACCTACCTGCCAAACCAAGTGCTCCTTTATAACAGCTGTACCTGATAGACAGACGCTCAGCACAATCGTATGAGATGCAGAGGTCAAGACGCTGGCAACTATAGCGTCCCTCATGTTGAAGGGCAGCATGGTATACACCACAAAAATAATGAACAAGAAAAATGATACCTGTGCAAGACAGCAAGACAAAAAAAGAAGCATGTCAAATTCATTCTGGAATAACATTCAAAAAATAACATTTAATTTTAAATTCTCATCAGAATAAAGTTATACATTGTTTGGTTTTGTTGGTTTTTGCTTTTTTGTTTTTTGTTTTGTTTTTTTTTTTTTTTTAAATACAAGAAAATTTCTGTTAACCACTAAGGAAGGTTGATTTTGGAGAACTAATTTCAGAAAATGCTGAGGAAATTGCATCGCATATAATTTTAGAAGTGCAGTTTCAAGATTCAACTTCATGATTAAAGAAATTCACAGCATTCTAACATTTCAAAATTGACTTTAAGTTTATTTTTTCAATGTTTTATTGCATTAGCCATCCTGTTTACAGTTAAGAGTGTAGTTCTCCTGTGATTAGTGGTTTTTGATTAAAAGCTGCATCGCAAAACAATTACTTTGCCAAATCATTCCACAGGGTCTAAGGAATTGTAAGTAAGGCAGAAAGATTCATCTTGATGCACTAGAACATCAAAATTTAATACACAGTATTGTATAGGTTAAATAAAGTTATATAAGACTATACCAAAATCCTCAATTCACACAAGCATTTTGTGTATCTACACAATGTATGTCAAATGCCATTAAAACACTTCATATATTTGGACATGGAAAATAGCTTCAGACGATCACAGCCCATAAGCAGAATTTACTAATAGCTTCTTGGAAAAGGATACTAGTATCCACGCTAATGTTGTGAAACTAATTCTTCATATACATGTCCCAGACTGAACCAGCAAAAGGTACTCCTTCATTATACACACAAAAGGTTATATATTTGATGGTACACATACGTTCCAAACTCCAACACATATTTGAGCAAGCACAACTGGATTTGAGAGAAAGATTTTGCATACTTAAGTAGGCATTTCTGGAAATGTACCAGCCTGTGTATTATGTCCCTAAGTAAGCCTTACCATTTCTTTTAGTTGACTTATCAATCTATTCATCATCTATCATCTAGAACTGCAGGGTTCAACTCAGACAGATCCCAAGTTGCTATTAGCAATAATAACTTGCTGCTTACTTCTCTCATTCTCAGTTTGTTTCCTTCACACCTGCATGTGATGACTCCATAACCAAAACTGAAGCCTAATATATGTATACCTGCCAGAATGTGGAGGCATCTTCTTCCCCATCTTGGAAGAGGAACTGGATGGAGAAGGAGTTCCATTTCTATTCCACTCATCTTTCTCTAATTCCTCCATTAAGATTAATTCAGCTCCTTCCTGATAGCCTTTTGGTTCTGCCCAATCATCCCTTATGCTCAAGTCTCATTGCTTTGTACTGCAGTTGCATTCTTCTCACGGTCTTACCAATTTTGTTTGTTTTTTTTTTTTGCCGTTGATATCTTCTGCAGCCCACATGTTTGTACCTCACGCTTTCCTGCCCAATCTCCACTGTATGCAAACGTATATTTTACCTGGCATACCCTAAAAACATATTATCACCACATCTAGGAAGGACAGGAAAAGACCAATCTGACAGAAGCCCAAGCTCTTCAGTGATCACATAGAAGCAGATGCAAACAGGGACAGAGCCAAAATGTTCAGGGCACAAAACAAAACAGAACCATGAGGAACTGAAAGGAAAATAAAGGAAAAAAACACACACACACACAAAAAAAACCCCTTTGTTACTGTACTCTTTCAATCTATCAGCTGATAGTATAAGGAGACAGAAGAACAGAAGCACTTGATATCTCTCTTCAGTCCTCTCTGAAAGCTTTAACTGTGATCAGATGTTAACAAAACTAACTGTAAGGAAGAGGTTTTAAAAACTTCTAAGTAAGAACAGGATTATGGAAGTATGGTGTTTTCAAATTATCCGGGCCTGGTAAAAATCAGCTGTGATACTGAGAGAGCTAACTTTGTCATCTCAAAACTTGGGAAAGATGTAGAATGTTCTGTCAGGCTGGAAGAGAGAAATGCCTTTGAAAGGCTGGGAAAAAAAATGGAGATAAGAACTGGTTGGTTTAGTTTCAATTCCTGGAGCAGTAACAGACCAAATAATAATAAAAAAACTCATAAGCGAGTATATTAAGAGTTAAGAAAAAACGTATGTAAAAGCAAATGTGATTTTGTTGAAAATAAATCATGTTAAAGCAATCTCATTTTCTTCTATGTCATGATAAAAGGTATCAGCACTGGGGAGGAAGTCGAGTGAGTTAGGTGGTAAGAACGAAAGTGAAAGGTCTTGTAATACAGACATAACATGACCAGAGGCTAAATACCAGAAAGGCATGTAACACCAGCTGTCTCAGACACGTCTCCTGTGAAAAAGAAATTGGTTTAAAAAGAACCCTGAGCTCTAGTTCTGGCAGAAATATTCCAAATACCTCCAAGACCCAGGGACTTTGAAAACAAGGTTTAAATGTTCCCAAGTTTACACCTAGGGGCAGAAATCATTTGCATATTTGTTAAAATTTTGTTATTAGAAAATAAAAAGTTATTCTTCTCTAATTGAATTGGACCTGAATATTTTATATATTTAAATACGGCTTGACTATATAGCCAGACTACACAATCCATCTGACTCACGAGGTATAAGCCAGGTACTAAAATTCATCAGTGGGTATAAGGTAAAATATGATGCTGTTACAACTTACCATAAAACAGATTACTAAGAACAGAAAAAAAAAAAAAAAAAAAAAAAAGAGATGCATTGCAATATTTTTTGTGATATTCAGCTGTACCTAGAACATCAGCTCCACTTTCGTAATACATAAATGATACTTGCTCTTAACGGTAAGTTACTTCACTTAAATGGAGTAACTTACAGAAGCTTACAGTAACTCCACACAAAATAAATGCAGAATTTTTACCTTCCACTACTGCCAACAGAAAGACTTTACAGAAGTTTCAGCTTCCCCTTAATACTACACATTCACAGAGTCATAAAATTGTAGAATCACAAAATCATAAAATCATTGAATGGCTTGAATTGGAAGGGATTTTAAATATCACTTAGCTCCCCTGCCTCTGCCATGGGCAGGGCTGCCACCCACCAGCTAGGCTGCCCAGAGCCCCATCCAACCTGGCCTTGAGTGCCTTCAGAGATGGAGCATCCACAGCTTTTCCGGGCAGCTGTGCCAGCGCCCCACCACCCTCTGAGTAAAGAACTTCCTCGAAACATTTAATCTAAACTCCTCTCCTTTAGTTTGAAACCGTTACCCCTTGTCCTTTCATTATCTGCCTGTGTAAAAAGTTGGTCTTCCTCCTCTTTATAAGCTCCGTTTAGGCACAGGAAGATAGCAATGGCATCTCCTCAAATCCTTCTCTTCTCCAGGCTGAATAAGCCTAGCTCCCCCAGCCTTTCTCCCTAAGAGAGGTTCTCCGGCACCCTGGACCCTCTGCAACAGTTCTACATCATTCTTGTGGCCTGGACAAAGCACTCCAGGTGAGGCCTCACAAGACAGAGCAGAGTGGGACAATCACCTCTTTTGATACAGCCCAGGATACTCTTAGCCTTCAGGGATACAAGTGCACACTTCTGGTTCATGTCAAGCTTTTCATCCACTGAGAGCCCCAAGTCCATTACAGCAGGGCTGCTCTTCTCCCTGTCTGTACACGCCTTAAATTGCCCCAACTCAAACAGCTTAACACTTGTCATCTTCAAATTGCACCTAGATTCGCATGGGCCCCTTTTTCCAGCTTTTCTAGGCAGGTTCCCTTTGATGGCATCCCTCCCTTCTGTTGTATCAACTGCACAACATAGCTTGGTGTCATCAGCAAACTTCCTGAGGGTATACTCAATCCCACTATTTCACTGATAAAGATATTGAAGAGCACTGGTCCCAAGACAGAAGATACCACTCACCATCAGCCTCCACCTGGACATAGAGCTGCTGACCACAACCCTCTAGCTGTGACCTTCCAACCAATTATTTATCCACTGAACAGTCCACTCTTCAAATCCACATCCCTCCAATTTGAATAAAAATGTGATGTGTGACCATATCAAAGGCCATGCAGCAATCAAGGGGGGGACCTCAGTTGCTCTTTGACTTTAAATGCTCAGTTACCCAGCATCAAATAGGATGAGCTGGATTAGAATCATGTTAAAGAACAACTGAAAACAAACTGATCTGCAAATTCTTACACTGGCGTATAGATACAGACCAGACACTTAATGTGCATCAAAAGATAGCCAACATGCAGTTTTAGAACTTGGGTCTGAGAAGATACAAGAGGTGTCAGTCATCTTTGGATTGCTAAAACGGAATTTCTTACCTAAAATGCTCATATCCATGAGGATTTTTGGTTCTTGGCAACATTCCTGTTCTCTATTTCCAGCAATGGTTTAATGATTCAGTAAGTTGAGAGTTCTGTTAATCACAAAGGTTCCTTTTTGATTTCACTGTGGCACAAAAGTGTTCTCCCAACGTACCATGAAATATAACATCTTTACCTTTCATCTTTAGAACGCACATAATTAATACGTAAAGCTTGGGAACACTCAAAGTATTTCAGAAGTCACTACATATAAGTTTGATACAACAGAAGTTGATTCTCAAAGACTTCTGTGTAGGGTGGTTCTTAAGGTAGAAAGAATTGGGATTTCAGGACTGAGTCATAGAATGTACAGCAGCAGTCTTCGACTTTTTTCATTATATTTTTCCAGGAATTGACAGAATATATAAATATTATATAAATACTAACACAAAGTGATGGCAAGCTCTGAAGAATTCAATAATCCCACTGAAAGAGTGAACAGAATAGAATAGTTCAGTTGGAAGAGACCTTCAAAGATCATCAAGTCCAACAGCCTGACCATTTCAGGACCAAACAAAAGTTAGAGTGTCACTGCTAATAGGTGTCATCGCACGTCTACACTTGGCATGCGTACCCATCAGTAAATGCAGTATTAATTTACAGAGCAGTATTTTTGACAATATTAAAAGCAAACTGTTCCACCAAAGCATGCCATAACCACAAAGCCTGTAGCTGCTTTGA